ACTGTCTCTAGAGCCTAGTGCCACAGAAAACATCGCAGCAGCTTCGATTCAGATTCGAGGCAGGAGCTGCTAGTAGCACATCAACTCCGCACCTTTGCATTCGACGGGCGCTCCCCATCGAAAAGACCTTGGCATGGCCCGACATGGCACTGTCGTATTGAACAATGCCAATGCCTGGCGGCGGTGCGCGCAAGGGCGGCCTCCCAAATGGATGCCTGATGCGCCATGTCCAACGGCAAGCCCCGGCGCGCAGGTCGCAGCAGCCTCACGGTTCAGCGAGGTTGCGATGGCCTAGCGCTGGCTTATTCCTCGCGCCTGTAGAAAGGCAAGGAGAGCGCCTCCTTGCCGAAAACGACCGCCTGCTTGCCTCTCGAAAGCCACACAAGCATCACTAGCACACCATCGCCACTGCCAGCGAGAGCAGCCTTTCGCACGACTCGCAATTGCCGAGCAATTCCTCAGAGCGGTCAGAAGCCGCGTAAGCCGCTCCCCAAGCCCCGCAAGCTTGCCCCACATTGCTCCGAGCATCGGCTCCTCCAGCGGCCTGCTTTGTGTTGCAAAGCCAAGTCGAAGGTATCCACCTCCATTGTCCTTGGATCCCGCTTGCAAAACAAGAGACGCGTCATCGCCGATGCAATGCACACCCTATTCAGGCCCTGTTCCGTTCGGGCGCAGCTTGTGGATCCTTGCTACGAGTAGCATCCGGCCTTTTTAAGTTTCGCCGCTGGCAGAAACCTCCATCCAACCTCTGTATCACGTCGTCAGGCCCAAGCGGCTAGAACAATCGTCGGGGGCTCAGTCATGCACGCGACTCCAAGTGTGCTGGCATTGTTTTGAATACTGTCAGCACTTTGCTCGACCGATCACCGGCTGTTGCAATCTTATCGAAACTTTCAGTGTTGCGATGCTGGGCTGCTCCGTGGACCCGTCATCTCCTTCCCTGCCCTGCATGAGCCATCTAGCGTCCGAGCAAAACTGTACGTCGCGACTTCTTGGAAATCCTAACTCATGGGCTGAACCTTGCGCCGGGATTTGCACTAAGCACATGTGGAAGACATGTGGCAAATCACATAGCATCCGAATGTCAATGAAACTCTGCCTCATCAGATGGCTGCATCAGACTTCCTGTGCAGAAACAGTCGCAAAACTAATCCGATGCCAAAGCATGTCTCGGTTTTCAACCAGGGACAGCACCTTGAAGGTAGTTGCAGAGTTCCACAGATGGATCACAGTTCCCGGATCGTTCTCAATTCCCTCAACCTATTGGGCAGGGGTCTAGGGCTACTCAGCTCTGCTTGACGATTAGCACAGGGAGACGGCTTTCGTGGGGGGTGAACTGTAGAGCGTCATGACTTCATGCGCCGGATTCATGGGTGTCTCTGCTGGATCTTGGGCCATCATGGAAGGGCACGGCTCCGGTAAGAATCAGCCCGCCAGGTCCACATCACGACCTTGCACTGCGTTTAAACCCTACTTCGACGTTTAGCTGTTCAACCACAAATATTCACACCCCTCTCGCTCTCTTTTGCCAGCTGGCCAGGGTCACAGCAGCCACACGGATACAACCTCACAACATCTCACAAAGCAGTTGCGACAAGTAACGGAAAAGCCATGTCACAGCGTCAAGTGTTGTACAACCTCCTTCATGATCCTTCATGCACACGCACACACACACACAAGCGAGAGACAGAGGGAGAAAAAAACAAACAGGTGTGCTGTCAAGCGAAGGATGGTCAAGAAGTCTCCTAGGTTTCGGGAAGGCTGATTACATGCTTGAAGTCTTCGACAAGACCTACGGCCGAGATGACGACAACACCGCCGGAAGAGTTTAGTCGTGGAGCACTTGTCGCAATCCAGATTTAGATGCAATTCGTTCAATAACTGTTACTGCAATAATTTACAGGAACAATATGGAATGACGGGGGTTCACCGCGCCCAGCTGTCAGCAATAACATCGTCTAATCTGCAGGAGAGTAGAGCGGTCGGACTAAAATCCAAGCCACGGCGGCACAAGTCGTGATCTCATGCAACATCGAAAGGAGAGTGACATGGCACCTGCTGCACACAGGATTGAATCGAAGACCGCCGGCAACAGCCGATGATGACAGCGACGGCGACGACGAAGAGCATAAAGATAAGTGGTCAGTTGTGGTTGAAGGCAACATCATGGACAGTACTAAGCAAGCGCTGGGCCAAAGGCATGAGCAAGCACACTCAGTGGCTGCGCTTTGCCAGGCTCATGTCGGCGCCTTCGTGGCCTGAGCGAAGTGCTGCTCCGCTGCATAGCCATGTCTGCTTTGCAAACACTTGCAATTCCAGCAAAATGCGCTCTGGCTGGCAAGCTTAGTTTTCTGGCTGGAAAACATACTTCATTCATTGAAACACGTAGAAGAAAATTCATGCAGCATATGAACGGTTTTACCCGAGGCTGTACAGCACTTAAATTCGAAGTTGCAAAAATGAAGAGCTTGCGAAAGCGAGCTGCACAGGTCTGTCCCACACGGACCTAGGGCGCTGCTTGGTCATCCTGCCATTGGCAACTACTGGAAATTAATTTTGTGCGAGCACAGCAAGAAAAAAAGCTGCGTGCTATCTACAGCACACTGCAGAAAGGGTCATGTCCTGTCCCCTTCAGGGAGGATCTGATACCTTCGTCAGCAGTCAATTCAACTGTTGATCAGACATGCCACGAGGCAAGCCCCCCCTTTTTTTTCAGGAGGGGGTGCAGTGCACATGCCCTCATGTCCAGCTCCCCCTACCTCTGCGATCCGAGGCAACGGCACGGCCAAAACCTCGAAAGGCTAGTGCAGCGACTGAACATCCGGTAGCGGCATTCCAGGCAGAACGGAGAGAGCATGTGGGGAGGTAGAGGAGGGAGACGGCCTTGCTCCGGCGGACCGTCCGCTGTCTGAGATGCCGGAGACAAAAAGCGGGGATCTCGCCGAAGCCACGCAGTGCAGCAGGAGCTGATGCGTGCCATCGGCGTTTTGCAAGACCTGAACAAAGCCGTCGATGAAGTCGGCCTGTTGTGGGCTCCACTGCACTAGCCACTCACTGAAGAAGCGCTGCTTCTGGGTCAGCACTGCGACTCCGCTTGCGTCTTCACAGCGGTCCACTTCTTCCCACAAACCTTGCAGTAGCTCCGAAGCCCTGCCGGGAAATAGTTCGGAAACTTTCATTCCAACCAGGCCTGCAGCCGCTAGCGAGGCCCCTCCCACAGTGCAAGACTGCATATCCAGAATGATATAGATTATCGGATGCGGTTGATTGCCCTCGAGAGACTTCACAGACATGCAGCGGCTGCCCTCTTGAGCCAAACCCACGGGCGAGGCTTCTGCTGAGTTCAACAGCTTGTATGGGCAAGAGACGGATGAGTCGTCGGCATCGCCAGGAAACGTCGCCTCAAGTCCTTTCGGTCTGGCCAGCGACTCCTGGTCGGTAATCTCGCGCAAGCCGATGAGATGATGCACGGCATCCCCCATTTTGCAGTACTTGACCTGGAGAAGCTCCGTACAGAACTTGCTGGAGTTGGTGTCGACCAGTCGCGTGCTGAAGGCACTTGCAGACAAGTCCTCGAGGTTAATTTTGTTCAAGGCCTGCTCCGCCCGGGCGGCCTCCTCCTTTGTGGCCACGAAGTCTGTGAACGGAACCCCTGCCAAAGAGGAGCCAGGCCGATCTCGCAAGAGAATTGCAGCAAGTTCTGGAGAATGCTCGGTAAGGCATAAATCCTGCGAAGGGACAGGGTGCAACATCATGTCGCAACAGCCACATTCTCTGACAACAAGCCGGTCCTCGTCCAGTTCCAAGACCGCATCACAAGCCAATCGCAGGAGCGATGTCGCAGCGTTTAACTGACGGCATTGACGGCCTTGCTGCACAGTCCGCCGTAGTATGACCTGCCGTCGCACCCAAGTTCCAAGCAATTCTCCTTCTGATCACCACGTGTGCACTGGCAGCTGCGTGTGGCGCTGTATGCCATGCAGGACAGCCTGAATCACTTCGCTCACCTAGCCTTTTCGGCGTCGCGCACAAGCTCAGCCGGCGCGCAGCTCGCAAAAAGCCGACAAAATACGAAACATCGAAAAATACTAAAAACACAAAACACACGAAAAGCGGGAAAAACACGAAAAACGCGAAACCCGATCGTATGCGATTACTACGAGTATTACCAATACCATTACTACTACTATAGTGATGACTATTACTATTATTGTTACTAGTACTACTAAGAATATTCCTATTACTATATTACTACTCTTCTTATAGCTACTCCTACTACTGAAGTTTCGCGTTGTTCGCGTTGTTCGTGTGTTTCGCATATTTCGCATTTTTGTGTGGTTTCGCGTGTTCGCGTTTTTTTGACCTATTTCGCAAGTATAACTACATAATAAGCAACTACTAGTACTAGTCTTAATAATTATTCTTGCTAGTATTACCAGTACTATTTTTCCTATTACTATTTCTACTACTATGATTGTTACTATTACTATTACGATTACGATTACGATTACTAGTACTATTACTTTTACGATTGCCATTGCCATTGCCATTGCTATTGCTATTGCTATTGCTATCATTACTACTACTATTGTTATTATTACCACTACTAGTCCTATAACTTTTACTATTGTTACTGTTTGCTATTACTGTTACAAATACTACTATAATTACCATCACCATGACCAGAGCTGTTGTTGTTGCTAATATTACTACTATTGCCATTGTTTTTCTATTAGTGTTATTATTCTGTTGCTGTTACTAATAATATCTTTCTTATCAAAATATTCCTCTTTGTTACTCTTATTATGACTGCTATGATTACTGTTAGTATTACTACTATTATTGTTATCATTGCTACTACTACTATTCAATCTAATATTTCTATTACTATTACTTTTAATTGATGGTTACTTTTGCTATTAATGTTACCAATCCTTCTACTGTCCATTGACTGCTACTATCTATTACTATTCCCATTAGTACTATTACTATTATAACTAATACTATTCCGATTACCAATACTATGAAATACTATTACTATTACTCTTAGAGTCACTGCTGTACTCTTACTGCTTCTACTACTACTGTGCTGATTTTTCGCGTTTTCGCGTTGTTCGGGTGTTTTCCGTGTTTCGCATTGTTTGGCGCACACTGGGACACTCCAGGCAAGGCATGTTCGCGGCTTTCGCGTTTTCGCGCTTTTCTCGTTATTCGGGCGTTCGCGTCCACCTAGCAAGTTTCGCCGGGACCAACAAAAAGCAGACATGGCACAACAACACATCCAACAAATTCTGAGCATTACCGTGAGGCATTAAACTTCACCAAGTTGGTAGAAGTGCAATCGCTGCACGTCAGCAACACAGCCTGAATAACAGAACCTTGGACCCGGAATCCAAACGACAAGAAACAGCATACGACGCTTCGAACTCACAGCATCCAGAGTTCAAACTTTGGGCTTAGGCTTGGACAGGGCCCTACAACAAATCTTGATTCCAAAAATACCCAAGCCCTAAACCCAAAGCCCTGCAACGGGAACCGGTGCAAACCACCTATAGGGACCAAACCTCAAGCCTGAACCAAAAACCATGAGCCGAAACTTCAAAAGGGCTTGCGCTGAGTTCGCATTGCCCTTCACACATCTATCTTGAATGGGCTTGCGAGCCGCATTCAGGCCGTGAGCAGGCAGAGCTGTCGATTCCGTTAGGGGAATCATCTTCTTTTTATTGGGGGGAGTGGGGAGGGTAGATGGGGGGGGATACTGACAGCCGTACCCCGTCGAAGCCAAGCTGGGCTGCGACACCGCCCTAAACCCTTTGGCCTGAAAGATTTTGAGTTTTTCCAGCCAAAACGCATGGCGGTTCAAGCGGAACAAAAGAAGCCGTGTTCACTGTGTTTTCGGCGGCTGTAACTCCAGCTTGCAGATTGAGTTGCAGATTGAGGGAGTTATAGCCATGACACACAGTTGAAGCCACACCCACACCTCCTCCTTCATTTTCGAACGCTCCCCCCCCCCCACCGCCCCTTGTTTCACTCCCAGGGCCTTCTAGCAACCCTCTCCAAGGCCCCCAGACCCCTTGCTGGCTCGGTTCCCGGACGAAAATGTGGAGCAGCCCCTGTTTCAGCCAGCAAACGCAGGAACGGGCCAGAAAACATTCTGCGCGCGCTGCCAGACCCAAGACGGTGAACAAAAACGAAAAAAAACGGGCGGGGGGAGAGTCGGGGAGGCGGGGGTCGGGCAATTCTAAAGTAAAGAGAGGAGAGTCGGGGAGAGTCGGGGGAGAGGCGGGGAGAGTCGGGGAGAGTCGGGGGAGAGTCGGGGAACGGGCAGCGGGGCAGCGAAGCAAAAAACACAAAAAACGAGCGTGCAAACGGTGGATTTGCTGGACTTTGGTGAAAATGGCAGAGTTTGCTGGACATTTGTGAAAACGGCGGAATTGCTGGACATTTGCGCGCGGTCTTTTCGGGACGGGTTAACCAGCCGCCCGACCCGAACCCAAACCCCGGGGCATAGAATTGCTCGAGTTGCCCATCGGTCGTGTGGGGAGTTCGATCTGTGGGCATGAAAGCTGGCGCGCAGCATGCGCCTCATATCCTGCCCCAGCTTTAGGGGTCGAGGTTTCACACTTGGGTCTTAGTAAACTGAGGCGGTCATCTTTTCAGTACATATATATATATATATAGGCTCCAACCTCACCCCCTTCCCCTTTGCACGCGTACGTATGTGTCATGTATAAATCTTAGATACACGTATGTATAAACATACCACAAAGCAAACCAAACAATATATTAATACACACACGTATGGAGATACACGCGCACATACATACATACATATATATATATATACACACACACATACCTAGTTATTCATGAATTTTGTATGTGGTCACATATCAGAGAAAGATAGGACCGCCTCTGCTTACTAAAACCCAAATTCTCAGACCCTAATTCGTTAAGACTGGAGCAGGAGCGAGGCTCATGAGACGCACCAGCTGTGCCCACAAACAATCTAACTTCCCACACGATTCACTTCACATCGAGCTCAAACCGACCTCAAACCGATCTCAAAGCAACTCAAGCCATACAAAGCCGTGCGCCTTTAGGGTTGGGGTCTTGAGGGCTTGGGCCCAGCAGTTAGGCGTTCTGGTTTAGGGGCTTACATAGGGTTTTGGGTTCGGGGTTCGGCTAGGATTTAGACGGTGAAGAAGCACCCAGCGTCCTGATTACCTTATGCCCGCCCTCCCCGGTGAAAATTACTACGTCCACCCCTACGCCTCCGCTTAGCTGAGACACACAAAGCGTTTCCACAGCTACCTACTGGGTGTTTTTAAATCTGCAACTGCCATCCTCTCAACGCTGCGCACTGCTGCTGAGTACCACTCTAGCCTGTCAAACTGTCAAACCTTAAAACATCACATATCCAAACACAAACACATGCCGCAACCACCGTCGATCTACACCCCAATGCCCCATCTTTAAGGATGCATTTGAAGAACATGTTTGCTCAAGGTTGCTCTGTAAAGCAATCTTTCACGAAACCGTTGTTGCCCACTGTTGAGATACCCATGACCCAGGACCGTGGCCACCGCCGCGAGGAGCAACTCTAGTGCCTTCCTCATCTTAAATATAAGGGAGTTTCCGAAAATAAGGGGTACCTTATTTTGGGGTCCTTATAATAAGGGTCCTACTATTTAGGGTACTATATTAGGGTCCCCTATTTTCGGAAACCCCCATAATTCGATCACTTCAATCAGAGCCTGGTCACATGTTTGCGCGCTTCTGCCAATTGTTGCTACGTGCTGATACTTTGAAGGGGAGACCAACGGACGCGCCTCAGCGGAGAGCGACACACCGGCCACGAGGAAAAAGGCCGACACTTCGGTCACGACTGCGGCGCGCTCGAAGTAAGCGGATCGACTGATGGTGCAGCTTCCACTCTGGCATAGCGCAGCGTCCCAGTCAACGAAGGCCCTGATCATTACCACGGTGGCTGTAGCTATGTTGCTGGTAAAAGCTATGGAAGCCCTGGATGCAAAGCTGCTTGCCGGGAGACGTAGAAATGCAAGCAGAATGATCGACATGTATGGGACTCCGTCCGCATTTGTACACCACGGACTTAGCAAGAAGGCAGCAGCCGCCATAATGGCCACGTAGAACATGTCCAGAGTGGTGCGCTGAAGCATCTTCGGAAATAGAAGGTGCGCTGTGCAGAGGACGAACATGAGCAGGATAGTCCAGTAAAATGCTGTAGGCGCATTCGCTTGCCTCTCCTGCAAGATGCCCAGCTGCACTGATACGATTGATGCGCACGTAGCTATCAGCAGGAAGTAAGAATAGCCGCGTGCCAGGCGCAATCGTATAAGACAAACCTCGCGTGCAATCCACTGCTCCTCCTCTGCATTCGTCTTGACATCATCAGAGAAGCACATAACCAACCAGCGTGACCGCAAAGCCAGACTCCGAAACCACGATGCCAGACGGTCCCTGTATCGGATGGCTATGTGTAAAAGCTTGAAAATGCAAAGTGCCTGAAAAAGCCCACTAACTGCCAGGAAGATCGGAACGCTGTCATCATCAATCGGTGCCGGCGCCTGCTCCATCTTCATGGAACATGTCGAATTTGTGATTTACTACGTCTTGGGCCGAAATGGGCCGAAGCGGTGCCACACCTGTCTGAACGGGAGCTCACGAAGCCCGTCCTGACCGACGTGTTACTTCGAGAACACTACCGTCAAAAGTCAGCCACCGCCAGAGGCTGTCTGGGCAAGCAAGGTAGTTGCAGCAGATCCGAAGCAGAAGGCCTCCACATGCACCTGCTGCCAAGTTTGTGCAACCATATTTTTGATCGTCGTCGACACAACAAGGATGCGGCATTTCAACTCATGGACGTCTTGAGTAATTCGTGCTGTCTTCGTCAAGTCGACACACAAAGTCAGCCTCTGCGACTTGTCAAAACCCAAATACCCCGGCAAATTTGCAGCCCCAGAACACACATCGCAGGATTTTCGATGCAGCACGACCTCAACCTAAACATGCCAGCATTGATGCTGCACTGCTGCATGCAACTAGCGCTTTGCCAGAGCGCAGCACGACCCGTCTCTTAGTTCGGCCGATAGCGTCCGAGCCATGCACGCAGAAAATCCAGCTTCTGCCACATGCCTTCATTCACATCTAGAACGCTGTAGTCTGTGTTGCAGACCTCGGTGCAGCGAGAAGCCCTCTGGCTGCCTCCGACCGCCTCTCCCTTCCTTGCTTGGGGTTGGGGGTCGAAAACCCCTGGCCTGTAAACCCCCCCCCCAGTCTGTGATTCGTAGGTCGGAGAAGCCACACTCGTGTTCCCCTGACTGGACCTTTAAGACCCATCCCCCGAAAACACACCTGCTAATTCCATCTTCTCTCTCTCTCTCTCTCTCTC